GGGAAGGTGAGCATCATAGAATGCCAATTTACTAGAAGAAAGTATTCTTGTGTTGAGGGTGTACTTGAGTGGAGGCCCTTATTGGGGGCTCTTAAAGCTCTGATAACAACCCAAACATCAATTGTTTCAAGCATCTTTGTACGTATGTTGCCATCCTTATTTTCTAAAAATTTACTTTCTATTTGAGCCCTTGGTATCAGTTCCTCTTTTTTCCCTCCTCCACTTCCTCCCTCATGACCCCTTGAAAAATTGTTATTATTATTTTCATATCTTACACCAACTGCTGTCTCCCTTCCCCCATGGTTTCTGTAGTTCATGCCCCGGAGGGTACGGTGTGGTGCGGTTATGTGTGGATCATTGAGATCGGTTCCCCCTTCCTCCCCTAGCCTCCCACCTTTCCCCTTCCCTTCTGGTATCACTATTCCCTTTCCTGTTCCTGGATAGGCCAGAGCATTTAGTACACTGTGCGTTCTTCCAGGTTCCCTTACAAATTTAAGGTACACATTTATGTCATAATTGATTTCCAAATTTTGAAACAGGCCTCCGAGCAGGCCAACGTGAGAGATGATTCTGTCACAGAGAATTCAGCAGCTTGCAAAGCACTTACTTAAACATTTCTCTTTCACTCACAGTTACTAAGACCATTCAAGTCAAAGCCCCATGTGTCTCTAGGGAATAAATGCAAATCATGCTTTTTATTGTTGACCAAATCTTAGGATGAGTATATTCATGTTACTTTTTTTTGAGGATTTGAGGGGGTTAGAGGCAATGTGAGTCACAGATGACAAGACATTCACCCCAGTGATGTCACTGAATGGCGTAATGACACAATTTAGGATTTTCTTTCTATTCAAACTTCTTTCTGCCTCAATACCAATGCAGGCATTGAGTCATTTGTGGGGTTGAGCTTTCTCCCCACATTCCAATCTTGCTAAGAGACTCTAGACACCAGTCTATTCCTTCGTCCTACAAAAGTTGATTAAACACCCACTGCAGTGGAACTGGAGACGGGTGCCAGGCCCCCAGAGGCTTAATGTCTGCGGGAGAAAACAGCTGTAGACTGGGAGGGTGCTGCAGTGGTAAGGGGCCCCAACAACCCCTGTAAGGAGCCATCCAGGGCGCTGCAGTGGAAGGGCCAATGCCTCCCGGATGTTGAAATGTGGGAAGGAAGATCACAAAAAAGAAGAAGAAAATCCTCTTCAAAAAATGAGGAGAGAAAGGGTACACAAGAATGAAAAGGCCACTTGAAAAGGCACCAAGGGGTGAACTAGCATTGTTCTCTCTGAGGACCCGAAAGGTCATTTTTACATGTCTACAGGAGCCCTGGTGATGGAGGGAGTATGGGTTGTGGTGCCAACCACAAAGTTAGCAGTTCAAAACTACCAGCCACTCTGTGGGAGAAAGATGGGGCTTTCTACTCCTGTAAAGAGTTCCAGGCTCAGAAACCCACAGGGGCAGATCTACCCTGTCCTGTCCAGTCACTATGAGTTGGAATTGATTTAATGGCGGTGAGTTTGGTTTTTTGAGAAGGAGTCTTAGTCGCCATGACAGGTACGCATCAGACTGCAAACTGCAAGGTCTGTGATTTAAGAACCCTCCCCCCCCCTCCACCTTCTCCCTTACAGTTACCCTGCAAGAGAAAATTGAGGCTACCTATTCGCATACATATTTACAGTCTCAGAAACCCTATATATGGTCACAATGAGTGGAAATCGACTCAAGGGCAGTAGGTTTACTTGGGTTTGTGTAGAGGGCAATCAGTGAGAGAGATGAGAGCAGTAAAAGTTGATGCTGGAGCAGTAAATGGGGGTGAGATGCAAGAAGGCATTATTATTATTATTAAAGTTAGGAGACAGAAAATATCCTGGTATCATTGGGGATTTAAATAAATAACCACGGGAAGCAGATATAGCCATACGTTCCATCTTAGGAACAAAAGTAAGGTCACAAAACCAGAAGTTTGCCTTTGATCATTTTATAGTAATTTGCTGTTGGGAGTTGCTGTTGAGCAGATTCCAACTCATCGTGACCCTATAGGATGGGTAGAACTGCCCCTGTGGGTTTCTGAGCCTGTCACTGTTTACAGGAGTAGACAGCCCCACCTGTGTGCAGAGTAGAGCAGCTGGCCTGGCTGGCTGACCTTTCAGAAGCTGATTTCTGGGCTTGGCTTCAGAGCCTCTTGTGGGTACGTTTGAGCTAGTAACCTTTCTGTTAGTCGTCAAGTATGTAATGTTTTGTGCTCCTAATCCCCAAACCAAGCCTTCTGCCATATGGAGTCTATTCCAATTCCTGGTGACCCTATAGGCAGCGTATGCATATTTCCTAGCCTTTTCTCTGGAGAAGCTGCAGCTGGTGGCTTTGAACTATTGACATTATGTCTGGCAGTCTAATATGTCACCAGCTATGTCACCAGGGATCCTTATGGTTTGTGCCTCCCAGGTAATAAACTCTCTTAAAATCCTGACCAATATAGTCAGAGGATGCAGGTGTCTCCCATAGGGACATGATCTACCCTATGTCCATCCTTCCATGTCTCCCACTTCGTTCCTCTTTCTCCCCACATCGCCCCTTGCTTCTTGCTGCCTGCCAGCAGCAACCATGCCTCAGGTGCTTGCCAAAAGGCAAGAAATATTTCTAAAGTTATTCTTCTTATGTTTCTGCAGTTGACATTGCTGTTCTTGACATCTACCCAGTGGGTGGCATTTGGGCGGAGGGGGCAGGATGCTGTCCTTTCATACTCTCAATGCCTCAGTTCTTACAAGGACTCACAGGTTCTTTTATTGCTCGCCTACCCCAAGATCTCCACATCTCTCTTTTCAGATGCTAGCCTATTGCACTGACTAACTCTGTGGACCTCGATTCCCTCTCTCCTTGGGACTAGTCCCCCTTGACTGTCAGGGAAATAAATGGCTGCACTTACAGGTTGCTTTCCAGACATGGCCAACGATGCCTGAAACCCTGGGAGAACACAGGCTAGATCCACTCCTGTAACGTTAGGAAAACAGACAAGAAGCAAACTGAAACATGGGCCAGAGGAGAGAATAAAAAGTAATAGGTGGCTTATATGGAGCCTTCAACACCCAAGGAAGATGGTACATAATGTAGTAATATAGTTGCCCATATTTTTCATCTGATTCTTTCTTCTACTTGTTTTACTGTGTTGTATTGTTTGCACTTTTAATTCAACTTAAAATTTTGGTTGAAATACCAGTCAAACCAAGCCCAACATCATGGAGTCAATCCCCACGCATCATGGTCCAATAGAGGGTTTCTGGAACGTTAACACCTTTATAGGAGCAGAGAGCCTCATCTTCTTTCCTTGCAACTAACTGGTGGGTTTGGACTGACAACCTTGGGGTTAGTAGATGCAAACCTTGCATCACTCCTTTCATTCCAAGCTCATTGCCGTGGAGTTGTAGACCTACCTGTGGGTTTCTCAGTCTATGAGTCTCTCTCGGAGGAGAAAGCCTCAACTTTCTTCCACGGAGCAGTTGGTGGATTCTAACTGCTGCCCTTGTGGGTTAGCCACTCACCCCACTACCCCACCAGGACTCTTTCCATGCTCCTACAGTAGGGTATAAATAAAGGAATAAGTAAATAAGGTAATTTGAAGTTGAGCATGTCAAAGACTGGAGTGATGTGGTCAAAGGGATGGGCAAACAGGTCCGATAAACATGACCATGGCCAAACTGAAAATAACAGGACTTCAAATTAACTCTCAAATGACGCTTTGACTCTAAGTCACGCTGCTGAAGGCCAAGTAGTGTGGCATAATTTCGAAAACAAAACAACGAGGAAAAACATAACACCCCTAAACAGGCAACCAACAGGCGACTGACTGACTGTAGCCTGGGGGAAGAATAATGTGAGGCTTCTTTAGTGAAAGCACAGGCAATTTTGCTGTTGAGGGAGGAACCCTGACCCTCCACTGGGCCAGGGGCATCGCCTAGTTTCATGGTTTCTGGAAACTGTAAGCTAACCCCACCCGGCAGGGCTGCTTTTTCTGATTCTCCCTCTACCGGCCCCCAAGGATCCCTTTACTGGCTCCGCGCCTCTCCTCCGCTAAACTCGCTCTGAACTCGCATCCTTTCCCTCCTTCCCACCTCATACCCACCCTTTCTCGGCACCAGTGCCCAGTTCCTCAGGAACCAACGTCCCCCACCCCTGTATCCACCCCCACCCACCTCCAGGTCCCCAACCCACCTTTCCCTCTCAGCGTCAACACCTCCTCCGGTTCTCCATCACGAAAAGCGTTGTCACTTTCCTTCACCCTCAGGGCAGGCTTAGGGGTCAAGGTCGAGCTGGAGGGCAGAAGGTGGACATAGGGGCACCGTGGGCGGCGGGGCCGACCGGACAGGGCGGGGCGGGGCGAGTGGGGGGCCCCTCCCGCGCAGGGGCCGAGGGGCGGTCCCAGGCTCCCACCGCGGCGGCCCGCCTGCCTGCACTCGCTCGCTCAGTCCCCGGCCCCACCATGTGCCGCTGGCCGCTGCTCCTGCTGTGCGCGCTGCTCCCGCGGGCGGCGGCGGGGGGCGCGGGCCGACCCTACCCGCACCGCAGCCTCCTGGACTCGGAGGGCAGGTACTGGCTGAGCTGGGGCCAGCGGGGCAGCCGGCTCGCCTTTCGCCTCGAGGTGCGCACCACTGGCTACGTGGGCTTGGGCTTCTCACCCACCGGGGGCATGGCCTCGGCCGACATCGTCGTGGGTGGAGTAGCCCATGGGCGACCCTACTTGCAGGTAAGCGTGTCCCCCCTGCCGGAGGCCGCCCCACCCAGCTCTTCTCTGTTCTGATCCCGGGAAGGTGCCCGGAGCAGGGGCGCAGGGTCCAGACACCGGCTCTCCAGCAGGAGGCTGGAAACCCTAGTGGCCCGCCTGTCGCGCATCCCCTGCCCCGCACTCGTTCTCACCTGTGCGGTCCACTTCTCTTTCCCCCGGTGGGGAGGCGCTTGCGACCGGCTCCAAGAGTTTTCGCCCGGGGAAACAGAGCGCGCGCGCACACACACACACGGGTGACTCTGGACACTTTGTCCTCAGGGAACACTGGTCTCCAGCTTCTCCCTTTATAGAACCTCTCCATTGCCCATACCCGCCGCATGCCCTCCATCTCAAAGGAAAAGGGAGAGGGGCCCTGGCTTTGGAAACCTAAAGGGGCTCTCAGGACCCTTGACACCTTGCTATCCAGATATCTGGGCTTGGCTAGCTGAGATCTTTCCAAATCAGAGCTGTCTGGAGCCCCCCCAGCATGGGCTTTCTGCGACATTCCCCACATTCCCAAGCGAGGTGAAAGGAGACCCCCCAAAATATGCTTAGGAACTTTGTCTTCGCACCAGGTGCATTTAAAGCTGTATGCAGAGATTCCCGGACCGCCTATGGTCTCCAGGCAAAATCCCTCAATACTCTCCGCGGAACTTTTCAACTTTTTTAACAGCCAGCAAACTTTAAGTTTCAAAGAACTGGAGTAGCCCGCTCATAGACAGCAGTCTTACTGAATGCACACAGAGGGATTTTGCGATAACCAGAATGAGCGGGTGGCTAGGTTTGCTCAACATCGGTACTGGGCATTTTGTCTTAACCAGCACTTGAACCCTTTCCTGGTGAATACGCACTTTTTGTTGCCCACCAAGTACGGAGCAGTTTCTTGGTCCAAATGAAAACGCCTAGTTGTTCAAGCATTTTACTAAGCCTTGGGTAATATTAGAATCAACATACCTGGTGGATTTCAGAGTGCAATTCTTAGTCAATTTATTCCTGACTTGTAAATTCAACTTCCACAGAGTTCTGATTTTTGACATGCCACCGAGTTTGAACTCTGATTCTGTCACTGAACTAGTTGTGCATAAAAATAGAGGAAATGTTCAAAGCTGCTTTAAAAAAAAAAAGAGACTCCAACTCTTTGAAGGTAAAAACACTACAACTTTGATAAAATAAACTCTAATGACCATTAATTACCCTCTGCTGCCCAAGCCCCTGAAGGACAGACAAACAAGCCTGCTTGCTGCAGTCTCAGACATTCAATTTGTGTGCCAAGGAGGCATAGGGCTCCCTAGCAGAATAACTCACCCTCCTGTGGTAGGATGTAGACAAGACCTTGTTTAAAGATGTGTTTTGTCAATTAATTAAAAAATTGGTTTTGTTTTTGTTGGGAAGCATAACAAACCCTTGAACTATCCCTGGCATGCTGTGTAGAAGAGGGAATGAGAAAGCTTCCTATAATGCATCATAAAACAGGGGGCACTTTCCACCTCCCTGTCTGTCACCCAAAGAGTAGTGTTTCTAGAAAACCTCCCAATTTGATATCAAATGATGAGTCAAGAGTAGAACATGCCAGAGGCTTTGCTAAACTAGAGGTTGTTCCCCCCTCCCCTTCCCTCCCTGTTCCTCCCATAAAGATTTGTAGTCTCTGGAACCCACAGGCACAGTTCTAGCTTGGTCTATAAAGTCACTATGTGTCTGAAATTGGCTTGATGGCAGTGATTTTTTTTTCTGGTGGTACTTGATAAAGTTGGCCTAAGAAGCAGTCAAGTGTTTTTAATATTGAAACAAAGGACTTTTCTTAATGTAAGTAATGGATGCATGGCACTATGAGATAAGCCTTTGAAAATGGACACTGCCTCAATAAATTTAATGTACAAGAAATAGGATTTTCCTCTCCATTTTCCTTCCTATGGTAATCAAATCCTTATTTCCATAATTAAATAAGAATCATCTTAGTTGACTGACACCTTTCATCATTTTAGTCTTTTAAGTATTCTACATATTAGTGAGGTTAACTTTGGAAAAAGAACGTTCTACCACATCTGCCCTTGCTAATGTGAAGGAAATCTTACTCATTCATACCACCCGATCACATGTAGCCATTCTCTCTCCACATTCTCTCTCTCTCTCTCTCTCTCTCACACACACACACACACACACACACACCCCACTATCTACCAAGGAATTTATCAAATCTTGCTACATTTCCCATGATTCTGTACTCCATCTGCCCTGTCCCCCCAGAAAGAGTTCTTACTGGTTAACTCGTGGCTGTTCAGTCAGTTCTGACCCAGAACAGCTGTGTGTGAGTGTGTGCTAAAAGTCCCATTGTGTTTCATGGGGTGTTTTGGAAGCAGATTTCCAGGCCTTTCTTCCACGGTGTGTGTGGTTGCCATTGGTACCACTCCCTCTGGAGCTCCTCTCATTGGCTGTTGATTTTAGCTGTGTTTGAGTTGGTCTCCGGTCATCTTGAGCCCCTATGCAGGGGGCATAAGACCTCCTTGATCCTTAGGGTTTTCATTGTTTCAGTTTTGGAAGTAGCTCTCCAGGCCATTCTCCTGCTCTGTCTTAGTCTGGAAGCTCTGCTCCAACCTGTTCAGTATCATCACAGCATGTAAGCCTCCAGTTACATGAGCGATGGCTGCGCATGAAGTGAACTGCCTTCAGCATGGAACCTCGGCTTCTTGCTCAGAAAGTGGGAATTCTACCAGGGAATAGCTACTGCCTTCCTCCTTTTAATTATTGTGGTTATGTGTTTTATGTTGCTAACTGAAAGGTCGGCAGTTCGAAACCATCACTTGCTCCACGGGACAAAGGCAAGACTTTTTACTTCTGTAAAGAATTACAGCCGTTGGAAATCACAGAGGCAGTTCTACCCTGTCCTAAAGGGTTGGCTATGAGTTGGAATGATGACTCAGGGACAGGAAGATAGAGTTAATACGACACTGAGTCAATCCTAACTCAAAGTGACCCAGTGTGAAAGAACAGAACTGTTCCCAGGATTTATCAGACTGTCATCTTTATGGGTGCAGATCTGCAGACTGTTTCTTTGGTGGAGTGATTGGTGGGCTTGAACTATAAACTTTTTGATCAGCTGCTGAGTGCGCTACTATTGCACTACCAGAGATCCTTCTAAGCCAGTGGTTCTCAACCTTCCTAATGCCGCGACCCTTTAATACAGTTCCTCATGTTGTGGTGATCCCCCACCACAAGATTATTTTCATTGCTACTTCATAACTGTCATTTTGCTACCATTATGAATCATAATGTAAATATATGATATGCAGGATGGTTTTTCATTGTTACAAATTGAACATAATGAAAGCATAGTGACTCATCACAAAAACAATATGTAATTATATATTGTGAAATATTTATTTCTAATATCAAATAAATGGAAATTTGTCTTGAAGCAGGGTGTAGCATGGGTAACAGTCTTTATGCCAGGGTGCTCGTATGTGAGCATATCTGCATGTGGAGAGACCCGCCTGGAGACAGATAGAGGAGCGGTGTCTCGGTTCCTAAAACCATCGGAAGTATGTGTTTTCTGATGGTCTTAGGGGACCATGTGAAAGGGTCATTTGATCCCCAAAGGGGTCGTGACCCACGGGTTGAGAACCGCTGTTCTAAGCCAACCAACCAACCTGTTGTGGATTCCAATTCATGTGACCCCGTGGGACTGAGTAGAATTGTCCCATGGGGTTTCCAAGGCTGCATCTGTATGGAGCAGGACTGCCACATCTCTTTCCCAAGCGGCCACTGAGCTCTTCCCCCTAGGCATTGTGCATGTGTGTGCAACGGGCTGTAGAGTTGTTCTGGCTCATAGCAGTTTTATGTACAACAGAATGAAACCCTTTTGATCCTATGCTATCATTATATTTAATTCTGGCTGTGTTTGAGCGTATTTTTGTAGACACTGTGTTAGTTGATCTCTTTGAGGATTTCCTTCTTTTTCACTGAACTTCTACTTTACCTACCATAATATCGTTTTCCAAGGATTGGTTCTTCCTGATAACGCATTGCCATCGAGTCAGTGCTGACTCATGGCGACCCCCGTGGGTTTCCAAGACTGCTTTTTAGCTGTGTACAGGAGTAGAAAGCCCGGTCTTTCTCCCAAGGACCTTCTGGTGGCTTTGAACTGCCGACCATGTGGATCACAGCCCAACACATAACCACTGCGTTATCAGGGTTCTTGATAACAATTTATATGAGAAATGTCACCATCCTTGTTTCTAAGGAGCATTCTGGCTGTCCTTCTAAGCTCAATTTTTTGGTTCTTCTGGTGGTCCATGGGACTTCACGTATTCTCTGCCAACACTATCATTCAAATACATTAATTTGTCTTTGATCTTCTTTATTTGTTGTCCAACTTTCACATGCATATGAGGTAACTGAAAGTACCACAGCTTGGGGGAGGTACACCTTAGTCCTCAAAATGACATCATTGTTCTTCAACCCTGTAAAGAAAATTGCCAAAATTTTCCCATTGTGATCCATTATGTCATTTCTAGATTACTAGCTCCATAGGTGTTGATTACGGATCTAAGTGAAATGAAATCCTTGCCATTTCCATCTTTTCTGTATTTATCATTGTAAGAATGGTGGGGGAGGGGGGGAGGCGAGTCTGAAATCCTTTGACTTTACAAGGAGCAATGAGAGTCAAACTCATGGGCCAACACCAATTTCTATGAGGTGGAGGTCCCACATGCCTTCTGGCTCTTATTGTCTCTCCCTTGACGCAGTATTCTCTTCTCTACTGCATTCAGTAATTCACTGCAGTGGCTACACAGAACTCAGACAACACTCAAGATCATGAGCCTTCTTACGGAAATTAACAGGTTATGGTTTAGGACCAGACCTCTTCAGGATAGAGTTCTTCCAGTCAGGACCATCTCTTCTCAGCTAGGCCTGCAGGCAGGCCCGTCTCTAGTTATGGTTCAAGTCTTCTAAGCCATGCCGCTTCTTGACCTCTGCTTTGAACG